TGGTTCGTTCAAGCATAAAAATGCAGACAAATACAACATTACTAAAGAAAAATTTTAAATTCACCCTAGTGATTCCGCAATTTTTTCCACAAAATGATTGACACTCTTGTCAGTCGCATCAGATTAGCACTTCGTCTGAATTCACCATTTTCTTGTCCTGTTTCGCATCCGCTTTCTGTGGGGCGGTAATTTATAAAATAAAATCAAAGATTCTCCTAGGTATGCAGTGTAGTGCTCTCATTGCTTACCTCTTTTAGCGCAATACCTAAGAATGAATCAGTCTTTGCTATACAGGGTGAGTTGTTTAGGTCCATTTAACCCGTTCACCTTATTGGCGAGGTTTAAAAGCGCTAAGTCATAAAACTTCATTATAACAAATGGACTACATTTTCATCGCTTTGTCCAGTTGACAGCTTAACAATTAGTAACAGATCATCTTTATATGTAGTCTGGTTTTTAACTCAGGCATTAATTCAGGGTTGAAAAAATCAGCCTATAAGAGATTTAAAGTTCACGACTATTTAAGTAGTATATCCAGAGCAAAAGTTAAAACCACAAAATATCCAAAAAAACATTGCACAGTAGCATAAATCACTTACACTTACAAATGACAAAACAATATGAACGTAACTTTAAGGTGTGGGTGGGTGGACAAGACCTTTCCATTGAGACAACCATAGAGGAGGAGGTGGAGGAGGAGAAAGAGGAGGACAACCTCCCCATTTTACTTGATTCATCATCTTTGGCAACCCCGATGTGAGCATGATTCCTATGCATGCGTATATTAGACAAAAGGACCTGTTCGGCGGCAACTCATGAGTGGATGAAGGCTAAGTAGTAGCAGTAGTAGGGAAGGTAGGAATGTTCCCCTGACATCACGTTTGTGGAAAGCAGAAGAATAAGCACTTTGAAAACTTTAAATTTCAGCTCTCCCAGTCTTACCAAGAGAACGTGTAGTTTGTTTATATTGTGAGGGAGAGAAGGAACAAACGAGTGTTTAAATCCCTAACCAGTGTTCGATTTCGGGACTCCTGGAGGCAAGAATGTATGGATATGTGGAAAAAGACTCAGGTGAATTGTGAAAGCAACGATACTTTCATGTTGAAGGTCTAGATGTTACCTATAAGACATTCAAAGCTCACGAATGAAATCAAAGATTCTACTAGGGCAATACATAAGAATAAATCTGTCTTTGTCATACAGGAAGAGTTAATTTAGTCTATTTAACCACTTCACCTTATTGGCTAGGTTTAAAAGCGCTAAATCATAAAACTTCATTGTAACAAATGGACTACTTTTTTCATCTCTATGTCCAGTTGACAGCTTAGCAATTGGCAACAGGTCATCTTTATATGTAGTCTGGTTTTTAACTCAGGCATTATTTGTGTCGAAAAATCGTGGTATATCAAGAATTCGAGGTGCTTATCTCTCCCCCTCACCACTGGCGGGCCTAATACATGCAGCAGATGGATCTGTAATGCTCGGGTGTCATGCAGTTTGGGGCCATCAAGAAGTATTGGGTAGTTGAAGATATCGTCTCTGAATTTTAGGCGCTGATCTGCTAACGACATGGCGAATATAATGGTAATTGAACAGGAGAAGTTGCTGCATTACATGGAGGTAGCCATTTCATTCGATGTCGATGAGGTTGTCAAAGCGAAGGCGCATCTATATAAATCGTGTCCATGGTATCACACGCAAAAGTCAGCTTTGCAAATTCATGCGTAAAAGATTGGCTTTCCCTGTGCCAGTAAAAATAAAACACAGTTCTAAAAAAGCTCCAAAATGAAGAGGAAAATAGAATTTGGTCTAAACGTAGTGATGTAGAATAAATGTGTAGGCAAAGCAGATAGTTTGAAGATACTTAGCAAAATTAAAGGAAATCGCCAAGAAGTATTTGAAAGTGAATATTACAGGACAGAAAAGAAGCGAAAAGAGGGCAGAGGAGGTAAGTGAAATGTAGTGAATGTATGGGTATGGGGTCTGTAAAAGTGGGCCAGCAACCCCGAGTGTTCCGAATCCGTCACCATCAGCTGTACTAACCCGGTCCAACGTAGCACAACCTGGACGGCGTGACGGAAGCCATAGGCCTCTACGTGGTGTAGTTGCTGGCGTTATCTCGCCCTCCACATTTCCAATTTCATCTCGAACTCTATCAGACCAACAGGGCATTGCATCACTTCCCTCGTTCCCTTAACTCGCCATGGTTGTCGCTGCTAAATTCCAAACACATCTGCATTAAATAACGCATTTGTTTGTTCACATATTCATTCACAACCTTCTTATTTTGTGCAGAAATGGGAAATGCTTCTTTCCATTGTTTACAGGGTTAGCACAAATACAGCGAATATTTATTACCGCGCATTCGAGGTGAGAATTGTGCAAGTTTGTGGCAAATATTTTAGCCTATGCTTTTACTCCCAGAACCTTGGAAACTTTGGGAGAATGATAACTTAAGCCACAATCCTGATGCATAATTCGGTGCCTTCAGTAAGCCGTGAACAACATCTTAACTATGCAACCTCATGACAGTGTGATTTTGCTCATCTTCCATTTTGAACTGGATGATCGTTGGGGTTCTTCTTTGCCACTCACACCTCAGTCCTCATCGTTTTCCTATGCTTTCTTTTTCGGAACAAACGAGCACTAGAACCACCCAGTGAGTGGATTTCTATTTCCACGGTCATCATATTTTTAATTTGTAACAGTAGACTGACTTGTTATTAGATTGAGCTTATTTAACTGTAGATAGTATGTCACTATGCATCAGGATGTTTGCAAAATCATCCGCGGTGAATTTAATGCTTGCAGATTTCGATAGTAATTTATTGTGATGTGTAAATTTATGTTTAGCCGCCACTTTTGTTAATGCACCGCATAATGCCCACGAGAAGCTGGAAGTTGCTAATGACATTTCTTCTCATTTCTTAGTCTTCGTTTATTTGTAGAGATGCATGAACTAGGGTCAATTCATTTGCTTCATGTCTCCATCCAATCGTGGCTGCAACTGCAAGGCATTCTCCTGCCTACTTTCTTCTATCTACCACGTCGAAGAGGTTTCTTCACGCTAGCACTCTCCTTCTCACAGCCCCGCATTACGTGAACTGCGATTAGACATGCGTGCGAAGGCGATAATGACGAACATTGGCGACTGCCACTTTTTCAAGGCTTCACATGATGGCTAATCTTCAGCAATTGCTGAGGGATATGCTCTTCCTCAATGCCATCTCATTGGCTCATACTAAGCGGGGCTGTGGTACAAGTGCGCTGATAACCACTGCACGGCTGAGGTCAC